GGCTCGAGTGGCGCGTCGAGTTCCTCTACGGGCAGCGGCGCCGCCGTCGCGGCGACGACCGTCGTCGACGGCAACGCGCTCGGCGGCACGTTCGCGCTCCAGACCGCGGACGGCTACACGACGGACCAGCTGCCCTACGGCGTCAGCACGGGCGCCCTCGAAGCCGCGCTCGAGGCCCTCTTGGGCGTCGGCGCCATCGAGGTCACGACGGGCTGGGAGCTCGACGAGTCGTCCGAGTACGGCAAGGCCTACATGATCGAGTTCACGACCGCGGAGGGCGACGTCGCGGACCTGGCCACGGCGACTGCCTCGCGGAGGGCGCGACCATCTCCGGCACGCCGCCCTGCGACTACGTCGTGTCCGGTCTCACGAACAACACGACGGTCTGGAAGGTCGAGACCGCGGGCACGGGCGCGACGAACCCCATCGTCGACGGCACCTTCGAGCTCACGCTCTCCGTGTCCGGCCAGTCCTACACGACGGACCCGATCCCCTACGACGCCGTCGGCAGCGCCTTCGACGAGACGGGCGTCTACGAGACCCTCGTTGCGTCCGGCGCCGTGTCCGCGCGGACGTTCCAGCTGACCAACGACTCCTCCGTCGTCGTCGCGTCGGGCTCCCTCGCGGGCATCCTCTTCGACAACGACCTCATCCAGGTCGAGGGCCAGCGCCACGAGGGCGAGGTCTACCGCGTGTCGCTGCTCGACCCGTCGGGCACGACGTTCAACCTCACGAACCCCGCCACGGACGAGGCGCGCATCTTCCTGGGCACGTCGAAGACGGCCGCCAAGGTCACGCGCGTCCACGGCGGCCGCGGCACGTCCGCGACGTCCGAGGTCTTCTGCGAGGAGGAGACGGGCTACTGCTCGAGCGGCGGCCGCCTCGACTTCTCCGGCTCCGTGGAGTCGAAGCTCGAGGCGCTCGACGAGCTCATCGACGCCGGCGTCAACGTGAGCCGCTACGGCCCCGACGACACGAACGGCTTCTCCTGGTTCGTCACGTTCCTCGACGACTCGCCCGCGTCGTCGACGAACGACTTCGCGCTCTCGCTGTCGACGAACTCGCTCGAGGACTACAACGGCACGATCGGCGGCGCCGGCGCGTCGGTCACGCTCACGCAGTGGCAGGCCGGCGAGACCTACTCGGACTGCACGGGCGTGTCCCACGTCGTGCCGTCCGACGGCAGCGGCCTCCAGAACGGCCTGCTCTACTACACGCGCGTCACGGCGATCAACAGCGTCGGCTACTCGCTGCCCCAGGCGACGGACTCGGCCATGAAGCCCGTGACGACGCCCGGCGCGCCGACGTCTGTCGTCTTGTCGACCGTGTCGGCGACGCAGCTCCGCGTCCAGTTCAGCAGCCCGGCGTGGGACGGCGGTGGCCACGAGATCACGTCCTACCTCGTCGAGTACGCGATGGACGTGGCCTTTGCGTCGACGGAGAGCGTCACCGTGAGCTACCTCGACGGCGGCTCGCCCTTCTAGAAGACCACCTCGTCCCTGACCGAGCGCCAGGAGTACTACGTCCGCGTCTCCGCGGGCAACATCCAGGGCTACGGCACGCCCCAGTCGACGGCGCCGTCGAGCGCCGCGCCCTACGAGGAGAGCGGCGCGCCCAGCGACGTCGAGCTCGGCATCACGTCCGACTCCATGCTCACGATCGGCCACGCGTACCCCCCCGACGGCGGCGACGACGACGTGTCGTCGTACCGCGTCGAGTGGGACACGCCGACGACGGCGGCGACGACGTGTCGTCGTACCGCGTCGAGTGGGACACGTCGTCGAGCTTCAACTCGCTCTCCGCGTCGCCCCACTCACGGTCAAGGACGTCGACGGCTCGGGCTGGTTCTACTCCGGCGAGCCGGCGTACGCGCTCAGCATCGGCGGCGTCGGCAACCTCAGCGCCTGCGCCGAGTGGGAGCACCCGTGCTCCACGCGCCGCCGCAGCGAGTGCCTCGCCTGGGACGCCGAGGAGTACGAGGTCGATGAGCAGAACGACCTGTTCATGTCCGAGTTCCTCGACGTCGCCGACGGCGTCACGGGCACGCGCAAGACGGGCGTCGCCAACGCGCCGAGCGGCTACGCGTACAGCCTCGTCGGCGTCTCGCAGCCGCCGACGATCTACGTCGACGAGAGCAACCGCTCCGCGCGGCCCTTCAGCGACGACAACGACGAGCACGTCGTCGCCGACGTCGTGTCCGCGGGCGCGCTGCTGCCGCTCGGCTCGCGCGACGACGCGACGGCCGCGGGCCAGACGACGCGACGGCCGCGGGCCAGTTCCTCGGTCCGAACGGCACGGCCTTGTCCATCTACACGCTCTCGAGCTCGGCGTTCTCCGTCGCCTTCGACGAGGCTCTCGGCGACCAGCCGGCCATGCTCGCGGACGGCGCGTACCTCGCGGGCGGCGTCGTCGCGACCGTCGTCGATGACGTCGTCCAGGGCTCCGCGGCGACGGGCATCGTCCTCGAGTCGCTCCACGCGGGCATGCCCCGCGGCGTCCGCGTCGCAGCGCGCAACGAGCTCGGATCGAGAGTCTATTAGGGGCCGCGCGCGCGCGACGGCGCGCGATGGCGCGCGGCCTAAAAGCTGCGGGTCGTCTTGCCCTTCTTCCGCGGGCGGCCCGCGACGGACTTCCTCGGCGGCGACCGCTGGCGGAACCGCGGGTGCTCCGCGACGGACTTCGTGAGGTCGACCCAGCCGATGGCGCCGCGCGGGTGGACGTAGGCGAAGCCGGTCTCGTAGACGACTGCGTCCTTGACGAACCAGGCGTAGCAGTTGCGGTACTTCACGCGCGCGCGGAGCTCGTCGGCCGTGTCGCGCTGGCCGTCGTCGCGCGCGTGCACGAGGTGCTGCGGCTGGAGCGCGAGGAGCTCGTCCTTGGTCAGCGGGCCCTGGCACCTCACGAACGTGCACTCGCCCCATACCGTGCTCGTGCCGGAGCAGATGAGGCCGAACCGCGTGCCGGCCTTCTTCGAGATCGTGCCCCGGAGGTCCACGGTCTTCTCGCCCCGCAGGATCTTCTCGAGCCACTCGGGCTTGACGCAGAGGGCCACGTCCGGCCAGGCGCCCCGGGCGACGCGCGCCGTCGACGCCAGCGCCGCGTCCATCATCGCCACGATCTGGTCCTTCTTCGCGCTGTCGCCGCCGCCGTCCTCGTCGTCGAACGCCGCAGCCTCGTCGTCGTCGACGCGCTCGTCGTCGACGACCTCGGCGGCGTCGCGCTCGCGCTCGACGTCGCGGTCGCGCTCGCGGTGGAGGCCGAGGCCCGTCAGCAGGAACGCGTCGGCGACGTCGACGCAGAACCGCGGCCGGTACGTCGCGGCGGCAAGCGCGGAGTCGAAGAACCTACCAAGCGCGTCGGTGACGAAGTCGTCACGGTCGCAGTCGACGCCGCCGACGGACACGTGGTCCACGTGCGCGTCGTGCCCCGTCCACTTTTTCATTAACTGGACGCTGGCGCAGCATTTTGAGCACGACGTGTCGTAGGGCCACAGCGTGTTGGAGAGGAAGATGCCCGCCTTCTCGAACCTGCGCGGGGGCGGGTCTTTGAAAAGGACAAGACGGAGGACACGGCGACGCGCGAGCAGCCGTATCTCTCGCAGCAATGACAATAGAAGTGGGGTTTCAACCCCAGCTCCAAAAAGCGGACGTATACGGACATGGTCTCGAACTTGCCCCGGGGGATCTCGATACCGACGCAGATGTTGGCGTCGCGATCCAACAACCAACTAAACATCTCCACATAGAACTCAAGCACCGACCTACATAAAAATAGAATCATAAGCCGAAATATCCAAACTCTCAAAACGCAAAAACTCTCGGGACGCGGCTCTTGCACACGGCCATGTCGAAGCGCGCGGTCTTGCGCGCGTCCGTGTCCTCCTGGAAGTACATCCACGCCGATCTTGCGATCGACGTGCAGGTGATGGTCCCCATGACGCCGAACGGCGGCAGCAGCTGGTAGGCGCGCTTGTAGTCGAAGCTTCTCACGTCGATGTGGAGGTGAGCTCCGCGCCGCGGGTCGATGTCGAGGTTCAGGCCTGGGCAGCGACATTCCCAACTTCAAAGGCTCCTCTCTCGGCCGTTTTCCACTCGTTTCGGCTGATTTTTGGACGAGCGATCATCTCTCGGAACGGTCTCGAAGCGTGGATGCTTTTTCCAGAACGGGCGCGCGCGGAACACTCACATTGAATCGACGTTGAATCACCCTCGTCCTGCCCCGGTTCGGGCGCCCGATATTCCAATCGCGCGCGCGCGCGCGGCGCCGCACCTCGCGCCCGATGCCGTCCTCGCCGCTGCACAAGTTCCAAAAAGAAGTGTGAAAGGAATAGGGGTTGGTGAACGGGCTGTCCTCCTGCTCCAAGCAGCTCGACACCTTGGCGTTGCCCGCGACGGCGGCGTCGAGCTGCTGCGCCGCGAGCACGCCCCGGCTGCCCGCGACCTCGCGGAGGACGCGGCTGAGGGGCAGCGCCGCGAGGCGCGTTAACTCCTCGGCGTCGTCGCTGTCCTCGACGGCGAGCGCGCGCGCGCGCAGCAGCTCCGCGTGGTCGAAGTAGCCCTGCAAGCGCGGCGCCAAGTCCACGTCGGCGA